AATATAATGTAGTAGTAGAGAGAGAAGTAGAATATAGGTTTGAAAACTGGAACTGATATAAGCAGTGCCAGTGAGTAATAAGAGTAAAGCCTGTAAAGTATTATGTCTTCTGGCCTTGCCAATAATTATTTGATCATTAAGAATGGTAAGTAGCCAAGGTTTGGTATTAGAGGTGAAGTAGCCAGTAATATAGAAAAAGTAGTTTGTTTGAAGTAAATTAAAGTAATTATATAAAATATATCAATAAGAATGGCTTGTTGTAATGTTCTTAAGAGTGGTAAACCATTGAGGTACAACACCTTTGGGAAGCTTATTTAATCTAAAAGAAATATGTTTTTAGTATAATAATCATGAATTATCATATGTAATAAGTTGGTCAAGAAAAAATAATTTATGGTATCTAAGTTGTTTTTTAAAAATAGAATATTTGGGATGAGAGGAAAGAAGAGATTCAAGAGAGATAGATCTATCATTTAGAGTAAATGAAATATATAAGTTGGATTAATTTAAAATGTCCAGCCAATATGCTTGATAAGCTGAATAATTTTAAAGTTTGTAGTTAGATGGTTAGGACTATCAATAATAGGTTTAAAATGTAAGAAAATATTAGTAGAAGACCAGAGATTGTTTTGTAATTGTTAAATTCAGATGTGAGTTAATGTGCCTAACAGGTTAGGATTATTAAGTCATTTAAGAAGATTAGGGATATGGTGTTGTAATTAGATGTCCCAGATATGTTTAATGTTGTAAATTTGAGGATGTAAGAGGGTACTAGAAGGTATTGTATGACAGAGTTTGGCCTTGAGTTTAACAAGACAATATGCTAAGTAAGGATTTTATTGCAGGTAGATTGACTAAGTATAATGTTTTAAAAACAATATTTAAAAGTAGGAATAATAACTATATTAATAATATAGCAGGTATATGAATCAGTAATATGTTTGGTTTTAGCAATTTGGATAAGTTGAGAGGATTTAGCAATGAGCAGTTTTGTTTGTTTAGATTTCCTATTGTCCAAGATGAATCAGCAACCTAAAAATTTAAAAGGTCATTTAGAAGAATGTAATAGAAGAAGATGATTATTATAGAAGATAGAGGTGTAGTGAGATGAAGGATTATTGGTAACCAGAATGAATTTTGTAAGGTTAACTTGAATATTAGCTATAGCATAAAATGATTCAGCTATGGATAATATGTTAGAAAGCTCAGTTTGTGATGAAGCAACCCAAAGAATATCATCTATATATGCCAAAACAGAGCATTGTTGTTGTAATGAGTTAAATGTTTGGAGTTTAAGATTGGTAGTCCAAGAGAATTGTAAAGTATAACCAAGTATTTGTGTGTATATATATGAGATAAATGGATCATAGTATATGCACTATAATAGAGGAGTAATGATTTCACCTTGGTCAATACTATTGTGAACAGGATAAGAGGGTATAAGGCCAAGATTAGTAATGACTTGATTGTAACGGTCAGTTAAGAGATTAAAGAGGATATTAATAATAGAAGAAGGAAGTGACAGATGAGAAAGTAAATGTTTTAAAAGAGTAAAGTTAACAGAGTCATATGCTTTACTCATATCCTGTGAAAGTAGACAAAATTCCTTGTAGTTACAAGTAGCATCTTCAATAAGATTATTGAGAATATGAATAGGGATTGAGATGCTATTGTCAAGAAATACAACATAATTAAAAGATGAGAGAATAGGATTAGAAGAAAATATAGTGCTTAGTCTATTTATCAGAATTTTGGTATATAGTTTGTGAATATGTTCAACAAGACTAATAGGTCGAGTAAGATTGAGATGTATTTTTTAAACAAAAAAAAAGCCAATCGAATTTAGTTTTTGAATAAAAAAAATGTTCGATTACATATTCAACTTGAAGTTTGATATAATCATTAATATTCTTATTTTTATTTATTAGCTAAACTATTCTTCTGTATTACTATTGAAGTACATAAAGTTTAATGCTTTAATAGACATTTCAGAAAATGAATATCAGTTATCTTCAAGAATGTTTTTATATGCAGAAAAGCTTCATTCTACATCCACACCTGATACTAGAAGCCAAATATAATCTAAGGCTAGTTTTGATAAGTTAGATAAGCTTCAAAGTTTTTCTTTCTAGTAAAAATCTAAATTAAAATTTTTATTATCAGAAAAATCTTCATTTAATTTACAATAAATTTTCTACTCTTGAATGTTTTGATTGTTTGATGATTTAATTCCTGAATTTCTGAATATAAATAAATATTTTGATGATATTGTTGAACATGAATGTATCATGGATCAAAGCATTGAATTGCTTTAAATAAAGGCAATACAGGATGTTAATTGATATGCTTTTTAAATTTATTAAATGCCAACTAATATGCTTCATGAAACATAGTAATATAAATCTCCATGTCAAGATAATTATCTTCAAATTTAGATTTTATTTCTTCACTAATAGGAGGTTCAATTATACTTGATTGTAATGAAGCTTCAAGATGCATTAATCATTGTGTTACAAATAAAGCAACAGATTTTTTTCTAATTTCAAAAAATTCAAGATCCTCTACAAGACTAAAATAGAATAAGATTAAATTTATTTTTTATAAACAAAACAGTATTACTTACCACCTTGCATTAAATGATATAAATGTAGTTAAAATTTTAAAAATAAAAGTATTTGTATGATTATTAAAAATTATTGCTAATTCTTGAATCGCATGATTTTCATTATTAATCTGTTCTTCTTCAAGATAAAATAACTGCAATTGGTTAATATTTTGATTAATCCAAAAGACAAATTTAAACCAAGAATTTCAACATGTTTTAACAGGTAATAGTAGTAAAGTAATTTGTTATTTATATTACTATTATTATCTGTTAAATTTAAATTAAAATTTGATTTTAAAAAATATATCTAGCACCTTTTATAGGCTGGACAATGAACAAACGTTGCTTTAATATTTTTAATAATATTAGCTAAAAATTGAAAATTTTTATAATGAACCCATATTTCTTCTACTATATTTAAAATATGGGCTAAGCAACGATTATGTTTTAATTGTGGAACTAAAGGAGATATAATTTGAAATGCTTTTAGCATATATGCTGCATTATCAGAAATAAAAAAAATAAGATTATTAAATGAAATATTATAAAACTGTAAAGTTTTTATGACTAATTGAGCAATAGAAGTACTATCTACAGTAGTAATAAATTCTGTTTTAGCAAATTTAGTTTGATTATTAAAACTACACAATATATGAACAACTGCCCTATTGCATGCATTCGTAGTTTCATCCATAGTAATAGAAATTCATTTATCTTTTAAAAGATTTTGTAATTTTAATACTCCAGTATCAAATACTTTTGGTAAATATTTAATATGAAGCTGTTTGGAACTTGCAATAGCACCACCTAATAAAAATTAATATGTAACATTATTAATTTTTAATAAATAAATATATTAAAATAAAATATTTATCATTTTTACAATATTTTAAAAAAAAATTTTTAAGCTTATCAACCTTATATAATGGAATATTAGCTTTAGTAAATGCATTTACTAAAGCAAAATTAATAAGCTTACGATTATTTAAATTAATGCTAGCTATATCAAGAGTTGTTTGCCAAGTTAATTTTAATTTTTCAGTTTTAGCAACATTACTCTTATGTTTATCAGATTTTAGATGATTGTCTACTGTCAATTTTTTTGTATAGTCTACAATGTATTGACAAAATTTGCAAAACAATTTTTGACCATCAACATAAAAATTTTTTTTGTATTCAGAATTTTCAACTCTATGTTCAGTAGCAAAAACCATTTTTAAGATTTATTAAGATTTATAAAAATTAAGAAAAAAAGTTTTTTTTATTTATTTTTCATCACTTTTTATTTATTTTATAATGTAAATATTAAGAAAGTTCTTGGACGTTTTATTTAACAATAAGGTGTATTTTATACAATTTTTTTTCTGCCAATTCGTGCATTTTTTTCTCTTTAAATAACTAACTTTAACTATAATAAATTCTTGAAATAACAGGCATAGGCGTTATTTCAAAAATCATGCCTCCTAAAAACTATATAAGTGATTTTGAAATAATACTAATATGCATTCTAAAATAATATACATATGTACTTGAAATACATAATATACAAATACTCGCTTTTCAAGAATTGTATACTGCATTCCTATTTTTGGTTAATTGTTATATACACTTATATACTAGATTTATGTGCATATTATGCACTGTTAATTATGTGATATCAGCCCTGATATGCAAATTATGCAATCGCATCTGCTATGCAATAAATGTCATATTTATGTGCATATTATGCTATTGCAGATATGCATCAGCTCTACCCTGACACAAGCTCAACTCAAGCCTATAACACAAGCCCAACTCAAGTCTGTGACTCAAGCTTAACTCAAGCCTATGATCTAAGTCTGACTCAAGTCTGTAACCCAGGCCTGACCCAAGCCCATGATTCAAGCTTGTAATTCAAGCCCATGACCAAAGCCTATAACTTGAGCCTGACCCAAGACTATAATCCAAGCCTAAAATTCAGATCTGTTACAAACCCAAAACCTTGTGTGCATAAGTAATAAAGTAATAAAGTCTTACATTAATAATGTAGTTATAGTATGGTTAAAAGTAGTAATAAAGCTATGCATTAATAATATAATAATAGTGTAGTTAAAATAGTAATAAAGCTGTGCATAAATTACAGTGTTACTTAAAGGAGTATAGTCGGAAAGATAAAAGTAGTTGCATATAATATCAAAAATAAAAAATTGTATGACATATGTAACACGTATAATAATAAATATTTCAGCTATACTAACAATTAGTTATTATTAAATAATTATATATATTAGAGCAATTACATAAAGTTTTTTTTACAGTTTGATAAAGCAAATATTAAAGCAAATATTAAAGCAATTCTTTAAGAAATTTATTGTTTCAAATAAACTAGCGAAGCAAAAAAAGCATATAAATATAATTAATGTTCTAACCCATGTTCACGCTCTTTAATTAAATTAGAAATATGTAATTCTCTTAATTTTTTCTTTTTTTCTTTGAGTTGTAATAATCGTTCTTCATACTCTAATTTTTCTATTAGTGACATTTGTGTTTCCTTAGTATTTTCTTTATTTATAATGACTTCATCATTAGTTAAATCAATTTTTTCAATTTTTAAAGGTTGTTTTAACTTTTTATTGTTTACTTGTAATGTATTTGATTGAATTTTTCGTTTTGCACCTTTAGATTGCCAATTATCTATAAATATAAAGATTAGTATAAATATAATATAATATATAATAAATTATTTCAATTTAGATATACTTACTATTTCGTCTAATTGCTAATTTTTTTCATGCAATGCCACTTTTGTCATGATCATTAGGACTAACATTGTATTTTTTTTTAGTTTTAATTTTTTTAAAATTACGTAAATCTAATTTTTGTCTTCTAAATAAATAAATAAATATTTAATAAAAATCAAACTATTAAATAAATTAATAAAAAATTAAATACTTTAAAATTGCTGTTAATAATTTAAGCTGTTTTCCTTCACGATTGCTTGTAGCATGGGCTGCTTCTGCAGCATTTGTACTATTTGGTGTTTTATACCATAAATTATTTGAAATTTTTGAAAAATATAGATTGAGTGATGCAATAATATAGGGTTTTTAATAATATTGAACCCAATCTATAATTATAAATTAATTATTATTAAATTATTTTAAAATATAATAATATTTATTTTAAAATATTTACCTGTAAGTTTGTTATTATTATAAGTTAATAATTTATTAAAAATTAATTTTACTTTTTCTGGAGTTGCTATTAATAATGCTTCTATATCAGCTCTAATATCATCTTTAAACTGTTTTTCATTTAATTTTCTAAATTAAAATGTATTAATAATAATTAATATTAAATTTAATATTATTTATATAAATTAATAATATTATCATTTGTAATGAACTTGACAAGATTTAAAAATATATATTAAATGTTCCTCCCAATTATAAGTATTATTAATTGAAGCTAGAGTTTCACCTAATCCAATAGCCTGTGCTATGTCAAGATCACCTATTATACAACCCCATCCTTCATCATGTATATGTTTAAAACTTGGTGATGTTTCTGTTAATTGTTTAATAAGATTAAACAGAGCTTCAAACATTCATTGATAGGCAAGTGCAGTTGATTGATTTGTAAAAATTCAGGCAAAAGTTAAAACTAATAAATGTTTTATAATTAATTAAGATATAATATATAGTTTTATAAAAATATAAATAATTACTTACAAGTATTATAAACTTGATCATAATAATTTATTTCGAATTCATTAAATTCATTAGCAACTCTTTTAAAAGACAAGTCAATTTCAAAAATTCACATTCAATCTATTTTTTTATTTGTACTTGGCTAGTATATACAATCATAATATGACCATCATCAAAAAAATCTAAAATATAAATTTATAAATTAATAAATTAAATTAAAACTATATAATAAAACAATTTAAAATAATATAATTACTTAATCTTTGTACATATTCATGAAAGTTATTAATATTTCATGAAAAATTATATATAACACCCAACAAATCTTGTTCAAATGGATGTTTTTCTTTTTGAATTTTATAAACACAATTTTGTAACTTATCAATATCATTAAGTGAAGTATAAACTTCACTTAAAGTGTCAATACCAAAATATGATTTAATTAAGTTGCCTAATATATAATAAAAAATATTAATTAATATATTATCATATATAAAAATGTAAAATTAAAATTTATTAATATACCTGTAATAATTTTTGTTGGTGTAATATCAGTTAAATCCTTATTAGCTTGTTGAACAAGTGTTTGAAGTCTTTGCTTTATATTAATAGGTGTCCGTATAGATGGAGGAGGAGAATGTGTATATATTCCTTTACAAATTAAAATTACAAAAGGACATTTTTTAAGGTTTAATAGTGTAAGTTTATAGAATTCAACTTTACAAGACTTTTTAACAATAGGACCATGGCATATAACATTTCCTGATTGATGTGCATATACTAAAAAAAATAATAATTTATATAAATTTTATTAAGTAATATATATTATATGTTTATAAAGTTTTTCATACCACAATATTTTTTTTTAGATAAATTAGATAACACAGTAAAACATTCATTTACAGGCTGGTTTTGAACATTTTGATTGTACTATATAATCAAAATAACTTATTAGCAATATAATTAATTTATAAAAACTAATAAATAAATGATATTATATATTATCTCATAAGTACCATTATACAAATTATTCAAAAGTTCCAAATTAACATTCGAAGAAACAAATATAAATCGATGATGTTTTTCACCATATTTCCATTTAGTACAACCAATAAAATATTTAGTTTCTAATGAATTATGATGAGCCAAACAATGAAGAACTGGTTTTCCTTCACATAATCTTTCATTAATTTTAAATTTGCATGAAGTTTCTTGAACAGCAAGATAAAACCTATTAATTAAATAAATATATATATAATAATTAAACCTTTTGTTTAAATTATTAAATAAAATTTTAACTTACTCAAAGGTATTGTTGTCAATATTATTTGATGAAATTTCTTGTGTAATTCATAATACAAGATCAGAATTCAGATCCATATTTTGATGAGTTCCATTATAAAGTTCGGAAGCAGCAAATTTACAAAGCTTTGAACCTTGACAAGTTTGCATCTCACGCTTAACTTCAACTCCAAGATAGGGACACATAACTTTGTATTTACCTTCAGGCTTACCAATCGAATACTGAATCTAATAATTTAATACAATAAATAAATAAACTTAATTATTAAAATGATTTTAATTAAATTACACTACTTACATCTTTGAATGCTAATAGTGGCTCTTTCCAACCTTCAATGTTAAACACATATGCAACTCCTTCTGGGCTTGTAGCAGGATATTCTATAGGTGTCAACATATGATAAACAGCATGTGATGCCAATTCTTTTGTAAAATAGATAACTGTATTTTCATTATTTGTATTATACAATGTTATTGAGTTATTTTCAATGTAAATGTCATTTTCCAAAGTGAAATCCTATTGTAATAAATAGTTACTTAAGTTCCAATTCAATATTATATGTAATTTAATTATACACCCACACTGCCAGTTTCAGATTTCTCATCATTACAGTTCTAAATCCTCTTCATACATAGTTTCTATATTATCAATAATTTGAAAGCAATAATACATTTTTGAACTGTACAAATGAAATTTGAATTTAAGTAAAATTGACTATTTGTTGCTAGTCACAAATGATTTTTAGCACAAGGTTGACTACTAACATCTCAATTCAAAGGTATGGGTTATGTCAATGCTAGTATTACATTTGATCAAAAGTAAAAAGTATTTTTTTTATTTTCCTTATATTTCTTATATATATTAAATTTGATTTTAAATTAATTGCATTATAATTTATCTTATGATATTTAACTTTCACTTTTATTATATCATAATTTATCATTTGCTATTTGACTTTCTCAATTACTACATTTTTCATGCATTATATTTGATTTTCATTGACCTTGGTTAACTAATTAACTATGATTCGATCAATAATCGCAATCGACACAAGACCCACCAATGAAACTAAGTGATAAGTACCTTTACAATATTTGTATCTCTTTTTTTTATTCTTTTGCACTAATTCTTTAATTTTTTAATTTAGAAACTCCTCAACTATTATACCACAAACTACATCTCAAACATAATCTTTTGTCACACTTAATTTTAAAGGCAAATTAATAGATACTCATCTTAACTATTGTACATATAAGTATTATTAGCTATCATATACATAAGTATGATTAGCTATCATAAATGTAAATATGATAATAAAAGCTTGTTATATGCAACTACTTTTGTACTCCTGACTATACTTCTTTAGATAGGACTCGAAAAATTTGCTAGCCAATCAAATAATAGATTGAGTTTAGATCTTGTTACTTAACTATAAGATTATTTATTTGGTTTTTAATGTTATTGTTGTTTATTATTAATTGTTTTATTTGTAATAGAAGTAAGAGATGTAAGTCTGAAAATAAAAGAATTCTTGATAATAAGTTATTTTTGATATGGATTTTGTTGTTTTTGTTATGTTTGTTTTAATAATTCCAAGAATTTTTTAAAAACTAAAATTTTTTCTTCTTTGAGTATTGTAATAAGTTTAATTACAAGGGGTGTGGTGACCTAGTAAAGTGATCAAGTTGTCAATTCCCAAGTGGCAGGTCTAGAGTTAAAATCCCATAGATGATGAATTTTGAAAAATAGGTCTGTATTATAGTAACTGTCTCTGTCAATCAGTTAGATTAGTATATCTGTAATCTTTGTTGCATCATCTCGAATGGAAGCTTAGAAGCATCTATACTAAGTATAATATTATACTCATATAGAGGAATATTAATAACAGGTGTTGCATAAGACTTTGGTGTAAATCTACGATAAGACCACCAGGCATTAAAAGCAAAGGAACCAAAGAGTCAGAAACCCACTTGGAAATTCTGAGTAAAGAGGTAGCACAAAACTTTCAACAGTGTTATTGGACTGATAGAAGCCCATGAAACACTTTCAAAGAGATAGGTAGATAAACTAGATGGCAAGATGCGTAGAGAAGCATATAACCAACCAGGCTATCAGAATTGCTAAAGAAAAAGGATACTAAGATATACTATACTAGTCTATTTGGATTGGAAGTTTGGAGAGTCCTGTCAGTTCTGAGTAGCAGTTAGTAGAAAATGATGAAGAGGACATCAGAAAGATGGGTACCAGGGTTTTGGGTGAACCTTACAAGGATAAAAGCAGTTTAATGATTAGCCCTAACTGCAAGTGATGATTTAGACCAAAGCATGACCAGGTAAGCTGTAAGTATGGGATACAGAATACACTGGTAGGTTTAGTACAAAGTTAAATATAATGTAATGACTATGGCATATCTTTATCGATTTACTAAAGTCATTGGTAGAATGTGGTGAATATAGGATCAGAATGTTTAAATAGAGGTCTTATAGGTGGGTCCTAGGTATAGCAACTAGTGTAAAACCTTTGGATGAACTACTTAAATTAAACAATAACTAAAGTTATATGAATAGCTAATTGTACACTCTTTTCATGATCACCTCTGTGCTGTTACATTAACAGATGCTGGCCAATTAATACTATAAATAAAATTCTGAGTCACATGTACTCACCTTAATATCTAAAAAAAAAAAAAATAAAATAAGTTTAATTACAAGAGCAGTTTAAATTTGTATAAAGATAAGTACTTTAGTTTGAGTAATAGCTTGAGTTTGAGTTTGTAAATATATTTAAGATGTGCTAGAAATTCTTTAATAATAAGAATAGATTTGTTAAAAAGTAAATATATATTATTTTCTAAGAAAGCACATAAGATGTTTTTATTTTGACAAATAATACAAGTATATGCATAATGAAAATATGCTTGGATTTGGAAAGTTTGTGCTGAACTAAATAAAGTTTCATATTGGAGTTGTAGAATAGTTCAAAAAAAATGGTAATGGAAGAACAGTAGTTGTTTTTGCAATTAGAAATTGAAGAATAATTTCTTTAAGTTGTCTACCTTGTTTAGATATAATATTAATTTTCATATATGTGAATTTTTGAGAAGAAGGATATAGAGTTGTTTGTCTAGATAAAATATTAAGATTACTAGAAGTAAAGAAAGTATGAAATTTTTGACAATAACAGCAAACAATGATAGGTTGAGTAAGAGTTTTAAAGTAATAAAAAGATTTAGCAATATCATATTCGAATGAGTTAAATGCAAATGAAATTACTTTAAGTTGTATAGGTTGCATTTCTTAAATCATTGTATCATAACAATCACTGTACTTGTTATAAAAATAGTCAAGATCAAAATGATCTGGCTTTTGGGTAGTCAAAGTAGACATTCTGTTTGATAGAAAAGAGAAAATATTATAGATATACTTAAAGATGAAAGTTAATATTACTTAGTAAAATTTTTTATTATTAATTGTTAAAGTTTTTAATATATAAAATTTATAATAGCAAGAGTTGATTTGATAGGGGTATGGAGTAATACTGTGGCTACTATGGCTGTTGCAGCTTTATGTAATCTTAGGAATAATTTTGTATAACCTATGTAGTACAAGGTATATCTGGTGTGGCAAGTGTGTTTTGATGTAATAATTTAGTTATATATCTCAAAAAAGTCTTGTAATAGTATACAAATTCAAATTAGTAAAAGAAGAAAAATCAATAAAAAATTGTATATTATTTAAGTAATATTAATTGGTTTACTATGAAAACAATTGTAGTAATGATTTAATGTTACACAAAAATCAGGTAAAAAAATAAAGGTAAATGAAAAAGAATTTTTTAAAGAGTTTACAAGAGAGTTAAAATTGTTTTTTAAAGTATCTCTGTTAATATTAGGTCTATTAAGTTTATTTAGACCTTGTTTTGATTAGATAAATAAGCTCTACAATTTTCTTAGGACTATAGAGTAGGTTGTAAAGCTAGATGTCAAGAAATAATTAAAGAAAGAGTTTAAAAACCCAAAGGTCATTATTGTAGTATTAAATTGCAAGTTTGAGAGCTATCTTTTTAAAACTTTCAAAATATATATAAAATTAGGAGCTGAGCAAGTTTACATAAGACACTAAAGTTAATTATCTTAATAAAATAACCTGATATTAGTAATTTTAGTACTGATAAATTTTTAATTATTTTTGTATAAAAATGATTTACAGAAAGAGTTTTTCCCATTAATATTAAAACTTTATTAGTTTAATTTTTTGAATTTTAATGAATTAAAAAATTAAATTTCTATGTTTTGTATATATACTTAAAATAATTATTATCATTATATCTTTATTGTTAAACTATAGATATATGCCTTATATAAACATTTCATATTTTACAAATATTTTGAAGATAGTTATATAATTCAAAACACCAAATTAAAAAAAAACTGTTCACTTATAATGAATAAAATAAAACAAATTCTTTATATATTATCTAGTTCTGAAATAAATAAAAATTATAAAAAATTTAAGCAAAACTTTTACAAATATTAATCTTTATAAAGGCATTTTGATCTTTTATAAAAGCAACATCATTTTTGAGTTTTGTCTTTTCATATTATCTTATTTATATATTATTATAAAACAAATTATTATTATTTTATTATTATTAGTTTTTTTTTTTTTTTAAATATTAAGGTGAGTACTTGTGACCCAGAATTTATTGATAATATATTTGGCTAATGATTGCTTTACAACTATAGGAAGCAACTATAGAGAGAGTATACAACTAGCCACTTGTACAACTTTAGTTATTGTCTAATTTAAGTAGTCCGCCTGAAGGTTCTACACTAGCTGCCATACCTGAAACCCACTTGTAGGTTTCCTATTTAACCACTCTGTTTCTGTATCTACCCATCTACCTCTGCCTACTAATGACCCTGGCCGATGCCGATGAAAATATGCCATGGCCACTAAGTCTTTAAAGCAGTTTTTTGGAACCTTTAACCTTGTACTAAACCTTCCAGAATCTTCTGTATCCCATTCTTACAGCTGACTCAGTATCGTTATAGCTGAGACCAACACTGGTGGTCAGGACATACTATTAAACTACTATGCCCTTGTAAAGTTCACCCCAACTCTAATACTTGCTTTACAACATATCTTTACTACTTTGGTATTCAATTCAAGTTCTACCAAGCTGCCATTTCAGATAGCTCAGAAAGATAGGTCAAAACTATACACTTCTGGTTTACATATTTGCCAGCATATACTCTTTTTTTCTAAAACCTAGAAATTCTGATGGTCTGGTTAGTTCATTCAGTCCCTTCTCAAAAACTGACACATTTGCACAGTTTCACAAGTTCTAGCTCCATTTCATAAGTCTAGTCTTTATAGTAGCACTGTCAAAACTCAGGTTACCTCTCTACTCGGGTCTTCCAAGTGAGTTTCCATCTTTCTTCTATTGGTTTCTATGATTTATATAGCCATGAGGACTTATTGTAGGTTTGCACCGCCTGGTACCAGTTTGCATTCCTTCATGTAACCACAGACCTTGTTCCAAAGAACAATGTCATATAACTGTTACTCAAATGCCATGTGACCTGCCAGTCATGTTAGTGTG